AAGTAAAGACACTCATTACACATCACTACACACTACACAGTTTACAAGTTGACATTTAAAACCAAAGACAGTAACAGGAGGAGTTCTGTAAACAAGAACTCAATATTTCCAACTGAACTGTGGCCATAGTAGAAGCACATACTGGCGTTTGGATGTCTGATCAGATTGTAATCTTGTTCAGTTTAGTCATTATTTTATTAGACAGATCCTGATTTAAAGCTCCGGTAGAGAGGTGAGGGGTGTTCAGCTGCGACATGCAACGTCAACACTAGATACCACTAAATTCTACACACCGTACCTTTAAGTCAGCAAAGGGTTCATTGAGAATAAATGCTACACTCATGTCTGTCATGTTTACTGACGTGTGTGTGTGTGTGTGTGTGTGTGTCTTCCTCTTACCAGTCATGTATTTTCTGGGAGTCCCTCCTCTGACATCAGCAGTGATTTGGACTGTGAGGAAAGTCTTGGGTGAGTAAATCTGCATAAACACACACACACAAGAAATCAAATCAGCTGATCATTGATCACCGGCTGTTTGATTACATACTCGAGCTTCAATTCTAGAAAAACCTCAGCACTTGATGTTTTCACTTATGCAAGTTTTGTAAATTCAACTTGTTTTGTCAAACACCTTCATCCTTGACAGGTTTCCAAACCCCAGTCAAATCTGCTACATGAACTCCATCCTCCAGAGTGTGCTCACTCTGACAGAGTTCACCAGAGACATCAGGGTTCTAAAAGACATGTGGGAGTTGGATCCCGAAGCTGAATTTCTCAGGTACACGACACACCGCAAACAAACACAAATCTGATGTGTGTGTTTTTGTCAGTGGTGATAACAGAGGTTTCCTTTTTCTTTCTCACCCTCTACAGTGCATTCATGAACATAGTGAGGTGTCACCGCTCCCCTAATAATGGAAACAAACTCAAGGCCCTCTTTGCCTTCAAAATGGAAGTGGGCAAGAGGTATGCAGAGTTCTTGGACATGGGGCAGAAGGTGTGTTGGCTAGTTTGAAGGTTTGTCTTGTTTCTTTTTCGTCTTGATAGTTTTTCCTCTGTGCATTGAACCCTCTGCGTCTTTCCTTTTGCAGGATGCTCATGAATTTCTGACGTCCTTTCTGGATCACATCCGAAGTTTATGCCCCGTGATTACAGGACTGCCCGGTATGGCAGACATCTACGTATGCCCCATCCAGAAGCACCTGATGTTCAAGATGAAGAGCACCCGGGCGTGCATGRAGTAAATCCCAATGAAGATAAAACACATTTATTTTATTCTTGTTTATTGCGTCTGTAATTTCATGCACATTGTTTTATATTGCAGATGTGGACAGAGATCTATGAATGAGGAAGTCTTCAACAACCTGTCTCTGAACCTGGTACCTCAAGAATCAGTTAAAGAGATGCTTGATAATTACCTGCTGGTGAGTCACGTCTGTCCCTGTCCAGTCCTGTCATCCCATCAACACACACACACACACACACACACACAAACAAACAAAGTTCATTATGGTACTCTCCATTTGTGCATATTATCATTTGAGTCTTTGGTCGGTGTGAATGAGACACATCAAAGTTTGGACGTTGTTTGTCTTTCAGTTTTAATTCACAACCATGTGACCACAATTATCTCTCTCTCTGACACACACACACACCCCGTATATCACTGATAACATATCATCTCTGTATTGTTTTTCAGAAGACAGAGTTGGAATGCAATTGTGTCTGTGGTGGCACAAACTCCACCCAGTGCTACAGCTTTGATACCCTGCCCAGGTAAGTGGCATCACATCCACCACAGTTAGATCACAACGGATACTTTATTCCTTAATCACACATCAAGTTTACTTGACATTTTTCACAGGATAAGGACAATCATTTCCTCACAATGTGTAAATTTCATTCTCAGACTCTCACTTATTTGGTTTTCCATCACAATAAAAATCAAGTATTGATTACTTTTAGTTTCATGGTATGTAGTTTCAAACCGATTTTACTTTAAAGGTCCAGTGTGTAAGATTTAGGTGAGATGGATCTATTGGCAGAAATTTAATGTAGAATAATCCTCATGATGTTTTCACCAGTTCATTTCATCTAAATTGAAATTGAGTAATTTTATCAATCAAAAATATTAAATAATCTTTCTTCTATTTCTTGTCTGCAGAATTTTGATCCTGCACGTGAAGCGTTTTTGCTTCACTCCGCTTTTTACCCCGAAGAAACTTCACGACCCGATCAATATTTCCAGGGAGCTGACTATCTCGTCCACCCAGGTAAGAAAAAAACTCACCTAACTCCAAGTAAAAAGTCAACATTTGGTAAATGTGTACTGGGGTTTTATGTGAGGGACTTTCACTAACAGTTCTTACCCATTGCCTTCTCAGGATCAGGGCTGGTACAGTCTAGTGAGTGTCATCAGCCACCTTGGAGCCAATGCAAACTCAGGTTAGTTAATCACACAGTGTCACACTGTCACATTCTGCAGTCCTCTATCAGGTCCTCAGGCATATTATAGATAGATGGTTGTATTTTCAGTTCTTTATTATTGTAAATTAGGATATTTGAATGAAGTTGCTGTGTTTTTTTTACATCTGTCATTTTCCCTGGAACTGCCCAGTTGAGTGCTACGTAATTCTCCTCTCTCCATAAAAGAATGCAAATATTTGTCTTGATGTTACGGTCCTGGTCACAAAATTGTTACCTTTCATAACCTCCACACATCAGAGCACCTTTTGTAACAGTGATTTGTCTCCTTTTAGGACACTACATTAGTGCAGGGGTCAAGCGTGATGCAGCTGAAGATGATCCCACTGACCAATGGGTCATTTACGATGACAATACTGTCACACGTACAACTGGGCAGTCCATGTGTAAGCATTTTAAAAAAAATGCTTACATCCTTTTCTACAAAAGACACGTACGTTTACGACACTGAGTCCAACACTTTGAATTTACCTGATTGTATCGTACACAAGCATTTTTTTAATTTTGAAGAGTTGTGAAATTCATTGACTGTACTGACATAGTTTTTCTCTTTTTCTCAAATATAGGGCCTGATGTAAATGGTGTTCTTTCTTTTGATCACATTGAAACCATCAGCCTGAGCGACTGCAGTATTGAAAAGTTCAGTGTGTAGGACTCATAAAAACTCACAAGAAAAGCTTGATGAGTTTTTGTTGATATTGTTTTTCATCCACAAACCAGAAGATTGGTAGCTCGAATCCCAGCCCATTGTATGGTGTATCTTCTAATAAATTTCGGACTAAGTCAGTATGATGACTTACTTTCTCTCTGTCTCTAAAAATATATTAATAACTCAATATGATGACTACTTTCTCTCTGTCTTTAAAATATATATTACTAAGTCAATATGATGATTTACTTTCTCTGCGTCTCAAAATTGCGACTTGCTCATTCAATAGGTTAGTAACTTAATATCTTTTGGTGTTATCACTCAATCTGTCACTTCAGGGGAAAATGACAACTGTGTTCAAGTTGGCAGATAAAGTAGCTGCATTCAAAGCCAAACTGGAATTGTGGGGGGGGCGAGTGGACAGAGGGATATTTGACATGTTTTAAACATGAGCAGGGATTTTGGAGGACAGCTCACCGGTGACCTTAAACGTACGTTTGAGACAACAACCTTGCCGATGTTCTGGATGAAAACCAAGCCAGAATTTCCTGACATAGCCACAAGAGCACTGAAAACCCTGCTACCATTTCCAACATCCCATCTTTGTGAAGCGGGCTTTTCTGCAGTGACAGCAACCAAGACAAAATTACGGAGCAGACTGGACATAAGGAACACACTGCGGGTGTCATTGTCTCCCATCACCCCTAGATGGGACCAACTCGTTGCAGAGAAACAAGCCCAGGTCGTGTTATTTTATTTTTGCTGTACTTATCTGCCGCACCTTGAAGGCAGGTCCGTGAAAATAATGCCTACATTAAATCGGTCCGTGGTGCAAAAAAGGTTGGAGACCCCTGTTCTAAAAAAATATCTCAATAACTCAATATGATGACTACTTTCTCTGTGTTTCTAATTAATATATTACTGACAAACATGTTCCTATTATTTTGTAATCTCCATTCAAATGAATGAGTGCAGACAGTTTCAGCACAAACTGGGGGGGGGGGGGTCATTACAGGCCCGCTTTACTTTTAGTTGCTTTGTATTGGGAGCTGAGTTGTACGAGTGCACAGTACAGCGCTTTTTCCAGTAGGGGCCGCTGTGGGGCTGCAGTGGCCGCCACCGCGTCGTTTCTCGCAGCGACAGTTAGGTGGCGCTGTTTCCCGCCTGCAAGCACGGGGACTGTGGTGGCAGCGGAGGACTCGCACTCAGACCAACATCATCCACATCGTCCGCCGCACTGCCGAGGTCTCTCCGGGTTTAAACACGCTCTCACACCGAGAGGAGGGCAGAGCAGAGCGGGGCCTCCTGTCTGTTTCTACCGGGAGGGAAACTTTAAAGCCCGCAGAGGAGCCATGCTGCCGGGCGACACAACAACAACCCCGCGGACATAAGCGACAGCGAGGAGCAGAAAGTAGCTTCCAGCTCCACGACACCACAAAGAAGCAGGAGGTGGAGAAGAAGAAGAAGAAGAAGCGGCTGCTCACCCGCTTTATTGTATTTTAATTTAGGGGAACAACGGTAGGAAAGACGGCGTCCGGCCTGAGGAGAAGCTCCGAGGTCGGGGACTCCGGTCGGAGCAACGCTCATCGTTTCTGGTGAGAGCTCTGGTTTTTGTTTCACATTGTCGGTGTAGCTTGTGTGGATGTATGGCAGAGAAACACGGCCGAGCTGAGTCAAGACACATTTAGTGAACAACACAACGAGCCGAACAACGCTGCAGTGTTCTCCCCACGGTCCTCGGCTCACTTTGTCCCATTCACCGGTCAATGGCCGCAGCTCAGCCGCACAGGTTAACTGCTGGGTTAGCTACACTGAGCAGGAAGCCACGTTCACTCAGGTTTATCAGTGGCGGCCACAGGAGTTAAACATTAGTGCGAGTCGTGTTGTTAAATGTCCCACAGCAACACGAACTGGCTGTTGTCACTAAAGTCAACGAGGCTGTCGTGAGAGGAAAGAATAGGGAACTGCTGCTCTGCGTGTATCGTCTTGCATAGTTGCTACCAAAACACTCACTGACCCACATTACACAGGGTGTCCTGTCTTTCTGGTCCAAATAGTTTCACAGGCCAGTCGAAGCTCTCTCTCTCTCTCACACACACACACACACATTCACTCACTGTCTCACACACAAACACACATTCTCTCACTCGCTCACACATACACTCACTCACTCACACACACACACTCACACACACACATACACTCTCTCACTCACACACACACAGACATACACTCTCTTACTCACACACACACTCACTCACTCACTCACTCACACACACACACACACACACACACACACACACACAGAGCTGCAGGCAGGTATAGTACTGCACAGACAGGTAGGCCGGACTCAGCAGCCTTCGCAGGAAACAGTGTGAGCAAAGAGTTTCCAGGAATCTCAGCTTTCAACGAATCCCCCTTCACATAGGTCCGGTTGTGGGAGTTCATCTGCCTCTCTCTCTCTGTGTTTGAGTGTGTGCAGCCTGCAGGATGTCCAGTAGGAAATCAGCATTGTTTTAGAGCGAGGCATTGTCATGGCAAACTGGTGAAGGAAGTTAATTTCAGTGTGAGACCATGTTTATTGCCACATATGTTGTTCTCATGTGTTTATGGCTGTTTCCTTCTGAGAGCACACATTGATTCAAAAATATTGTTAACCCTGTCCTGCCAGTTTAGGTTGAAATAATTAGGCAGGTATTTTTCCATTACCTAAAGTTTATCAGCTAAAACTAATGCGGCAGCCCTGCGTTGATATTTACATTTCATCAATAACAACAAGAGAAGAGACGTTTCTGAGGAATTTCCTGTTGATTGATTAATCAATTTATCATTTAATAATTTCAACTGTCAATAACAGTTATATCATTTTGTCAGGAATCTATTTATGATATTGAATAATTTCTACTTGCATGAAAAAACTGTTACTAGGATTATTTCATTTAACATTGTGTCTGCTGTTATGAAACCTAAGTTTCATCACTGAAATCAAAACAATGTTTTTTAAATGCCTTGTATCTTATATCATTATAGCATTGCTTTTCTTCTAATGTAGCAAAAGAACGCAAACTTCTTAAAATCAAACATTGCCTCGCAGCAGAAATATGATTATAAGAGAAATCGTCTGATCAAAAAACGTGACAGGTTTTGATACCATGCTGCAGAAATGTTTTGGTCGGAACCAGAAAAAGTACTGATGTAGTTGATGTTGTTTTGCTGACGGCTGATTGGAAGAGCTGTCAAAGCACTTTCTCTCATTTCTTGTGAAACGATTTCAGTTTGAAAGCCACAAGCTGTCAAGCTTCTCTGCAGTAAGTGAGCTTCAGAAGGTGTGTGTCTGTTCTGGGCTCAAAATACTGTGTGTTGAGCCTGGTACATGCAGGAGGGCAGGGATCTGTGGGGAGGGTGGTGGGGTATGTGAGTGCAGCCGTGTGTTGGTTTGACGTGGGGTCGTTCCCTTGGTGAAGACCTTCGGGATGGCGGTATCAGGGTAACCTAACCCGCTGTGAAACAGCTGTAGCAACGTGGGGCTGATCCCCAGAGTCCCAGTAGAGATCAGATGATGGTCCAGTATGGGTGTGTGTGTGTGTGTGTGTGTGTGTGTGTGTGTGTGTGAGCATACACACAAGTGGCTGTTTTTTTTGCCAGAGCTTCAAATGCAGTGACAAAAACAACAACAAAAACCAAAACTTCATTGACTTTTTGGCTACTTTTTATTCCGTGTCCCTCCTTTCGTTTACTAATTAAGTGTTTGTGTGTGTGAGAGAGAGGTCAGTTTGAAGCAGCAGGCCAAGACAACTGGCTGAAGGTTAATGTGTCACCAGTCTTTGGGGAGCAGCTGCTATGTCACAGGCACCACTCCTGTCTATAGATAGCCATGAATACAAACTCTTCCTCTTTTCTCTGCTGCATTAACACAAGAATCCTGGCACCGGCATGCAGCCCGGCCCTCTCACAAGCAGTTGCCTCCCAAGACAAATGCTGCTGCTTGCAAGTTTTTCCACTTTCACCCCCCGATTCTCTATCTCCGTCTGAATCTGGAAGTGCCTGCTGTGGTGGTACCAATGACCTCTGCCTCCCCCGTCCCTCCCTCCAGCGTTGAACCAGCTGGCAGAGAACCTTTTTGATTGAGTTATACAGTAATAACCTGACACCACATATCTGGGTCATCTGCAGTATTAATGTTTGAAACAGGTGAGGGAATAATATTGCCTTTTTCCCATCACTCTTGGCAGGACGCTGTTTGAAACTTGTTTAGTCTTTATTTGGAAGCAGACGTAGTCGCGTCTTCATCCACACCAACGTTATTACACTTGAGCAGGATCACATATTTTAGGTGCGGTGCAGTGTTCATAATTAAGTTCTCCCTGGTTTAATAAAAGAATAAATGTTTAATCCTCGTGTTTGGTTTTTTAATTAGCTGAATTTGGAAACCCCCAGGCTCGCTGCACTTCACGCTCAGTGGGTTTCGTTCTTATCAGGGACAGAGAAAGTAGTCCACTGTTCAACAGCTGAAATTATTGTCAGGCCCCTTGTTAATGATATTATCAAATTTCCATTTAATTTAAAGCATGGTGTAAGCAAGTTTTCCACAGTTCTTCCTTTACTTCAGACTCAATGTATAATGAGAAACTGCAGACAAGAGTAGAAATTTTGATGTTTTTAAAACCACTACAATGGCTTCTGAAAGTTGCTTGTGTTTGCAGTTTGATATGGACACCGATATTCTGATAACCTCAACCCCATCCTGCCATCTGCCCTTGTTAGATAGCAGTTTGGCCCATTATTCCCTTTTAACTGCCATGAAAGGCTATCAGGACCTGCTGGTGCAAGGATGAGCACAGACAGGCAGTGAGAGGAGGCTAATTGTCGCTCTCTCTGATGCTAATGCTCTGCTCACAAATGAACAGCAGGTGACATGATGTCCAGACACAAATCAAACAACATCAATTATCTCTTTAAGGAGCCAAACCGTAGTTTGTGATAATCCGGACGTCTTTTTATTTAGAAACTCACTTAAATGTACTACTACTACTCTGCAAATCTGGTCTATAAATGCAAATTTACAGGAAAGAAATTAACACCCAATGTCTAGTTTGACTGCAGTTTCCATAATTCAGTCTCTACCATTGTTTGTTCTGACCATCATTTCATCCACTAAAGATCTCCTACAAAACTTTGCTTTTTACTTTGATTTTCAAAAGCAGGATAATGTTTGTAATGTATATCATCATCATCTTGGAGTGACAGGATCCCGCCGCAGGCTGCCAGATAAAATCAGGCTCTTATCTGTTGATCTCAGTACCCTGCTATGAACCAGCTGCGTCCACAAGGCTTATCTGTCACAATTCATGCTGGCTTTTCATCCCATTCATAAACTCAGCTGTGTTATCACGTGTAGTAAGTGGTGTTTTTAATTTCAGAGACATTGTTAAGCTCTTCCTGACATATTTCTGGAAGAGAGTTTTTTAATCAATATTAATTCCATGCAATTCTGGATGCACTTGTATATTTAAATCTCAAGCTTTCCCCCATTATGTACATATGTGAACCTACAATTCATAAAAATTGCGGTATTAGTTATCTGACAAATGTCTGTGACTCTGTAATATCTGTACTTGTTTAACATGAGATGTGAGTAATATGAGTAGTTTTGGAAATTAACAGGGTTTGGTGTTATACGTAGAAAGCAACCCGCATCTTAATGCTTATCCTCTCTTGATCATTTTAGTTAGTGGATGATGGCTTAAACAACAGCCAATCTCACTACATACCTGAAGTTTGCTTTAAAAATTACTGCATCACTTGATTTGTCGGACTTTGGTAAATGTGGTCTTTGTTTCAGCCACATTGTTTCCACTATGACACCCTGGGAAACCCGAGAAAGTTTATCAGTAACAAGCAGAAGATGTAACAATGAGATGTGGAAAAAAATCACAGGTACTTTAAGGGCTTCAAGTAACGGTTATTACGTTTTCACTGGTGTTTGTATGTTTTTTTTAGCAGGATTATGCAAAAACTACTAAAATTACACACGGATCAGCTGCCTGATCCAACAAATTTAACATTGTGAGACAGGGTGTTTTTTTGACATTTTCGCCAGTTTCCCACAGAACAATTTGTATATCTAGATGGAAAGAAAATCAAGTGTATTTAGGGGTCTGCTTATATTTGTGTTCAATGCAGCTTGATTGAGGTGACGGTTGTGCTCTACTGAGTGTTCATGTTTTCATTGATGATTGAGCCTGCAATTATTTTCTTGGTAAATCTTTTACCAAGTTTAATCTGAAAAAAGCCTGTCATGAAAAGATAGCCATATATGCAAGAACATTGCCTTCACAGCACAGTTTATATATATCTTTATGCGGTTTAACAGTAACACCTGTTCTTTCTGAAAACCATATTAGCTCAGTATAACTGTAGCAGTATTGAACTTGGTTGTCTACTATCTGACTGCAGGCAGAGCTTGGCCGCAGGGAAAGCTTAGAGAGGAGCAAGGCTGTCAGTCAAGCTGCTGTAACCATAGCAGCAGTGCTAATCAGCCTGCGTTCAATCTTACTGCCTGTGAGATCTGCTGCTGTGTCACCTGTCTGTCCTG